TATATAGTTCAAAATTATATTCTTTTTTTTTTTTTTTGAGACAGAGCCTCAAGCTGTCCCCCTGGGTAGAGTGTCGTGGCTTTACAGCTCACAGCAACCTCCAACTCCTGGGCTCAAGCGAGTCTCCTGCCTCCGCCTCCCAAGTAGCTGGGACCACAGGCGCTGGGCTATTTTTTGGTTGCAGCCATCATTGTTGTTTGGCAGGCCCGGCTGGATTCAAACCCACCACCTTAGGTATATGTGGCTGGTGCCTTAGCCACCTGAGCCACAGGTGCCAAGCCCAAAATTAACAAATGGTGCTGTATATTCTTATGTATACATGTATAAGAATTAAGACTATTGCAGCTTGGTTATTTTCACAACAAATAAGAAATACCTTTCTTTTGTATTTAATCCCTTTTCCTTGAATTCTTTGTTCTTCATATAAATATGGCTATCCCTCATTCTTTCTGTATTGCTTTTCTTCTGTTCCATTTTATTCTAAACAAGAATGACCCATAACTCAATATGAATCACAGACCTAAATGCAAAACATGAAATTACAAAACTCCTACAAGACAACACAGGAGAAAATACAAATGATCTTGGGTTTGGCAATAACTCTTCAAATGCAATACCAAAGGCACAATCCTTAAAAGAAAAAATTGATAAGTTGGATTTTTTTTTTCTTTTTCTAGACAAAGTCTCACTGTGTCACCCTCGGTAAAGTACTATGGCGTCACAGCAACCTGAAACTCTTGGGCTTAAGCAATTCTCTTGCCTCAGCCTTCCAAGTAGCTGAGACTACAAGTGCCCACCATAATACCTGGCTATTTTTTTGTTGCAGTTGTCATTGTTGTTTGGCAGGCCCAGGCCGGGTTTGAACCCACCACCCTCGATGCATGTGGCCAGTGCTGTAACCACTGTGCTACAAGCGCAAAGCCAATAATTCTTAAAACTCAACATTAAGAATACTAACCAATTAATTAAAAATGGGTCAAAGGCCTTAACAAATACTTCATCAAAAAAATATATATAGGCTCAGCACCTATCAGTGGCTAGGGCGCCAGCCACATACACCGGAGCTGGTGGGTTCGAATCCATCCTAGGTCTGCCAAACAATAATGACAACTACAACCCCCCCAAAAAAAAAGATGTATAGATGGCAAATAAGCATATCAAAATCTGCTCCATATCATATGCACTAAGGGAAATGCAGATTAAAACAAAACACAGAATGGCCAAAACTCAGAAGCTGATGATATTAAATGCTGACCAGGAACTGGAGGAGCAACAGGAGTTCTTGTCCACTTAGAAAGATATTTTGGCACTTTCTTTAAAAACTGAACAAACTCTTACAGGATCCAGCAATCACATTCCTTGGTATTTTTCTAAAGAAGTTGAGAACCTATGTCCACATGAAAACCTGCACACAAATGTTTATAGCAGCATAGCTTATAATAGCCAAAACTTGGAAGAAACTAGGATGTCCTTTAGTAAGTGAATGGATAAATTGTGGTATTCCACACAAAGGATATTATTCAGCACTTTAAAAAAAAAGAGCTCTTAGACTATAAAAAGACATGAAAAACCTTAAATGCATAGTATAATACCAAGTGAAAGAAGCCAATCTGAAAATGTTGTATCCTGTATGATTTCAAAGGCAAAAATATAGAGATGGTAGAAAGGTCCACAGTTTCCAGGGACTGCAGGGAGGCCCAGGTGAACAGATGGAGCACAGAGGGATTTAGAGCAGTGAAACTGCACTGTATGATAGTGTAATTTCAGGCACGTTGTCCTCACCTCTTGGGGGCAAGACACGATTGTAAGAGGGACTTTACCTAACAAATCCAGTCAGTGTAACCTGGTTTCTTGTACCCTCAATGAATCTCCAACAATAAAAAAAATTATATCTTTGTCCAAACCCACAGAATATATAACACCAAGAGTAAATCCTAATGTAAACTAAGGACTCTGAGTGACAGTGTGCCAGTGCAACTTCACCACTTATAACATGTATACCACTCAGTGCAGGGCGTGGACAATAGGAGGCTGTGCACACACGTGGGAGAGAAGGGGGCAAATGGGACATCTGCACCTTCAGCTTTATGTTGGCTTGCCTGAAACTGTTCTACAAAATTAATCTTTTTTTTTTTTTTTTTTGAGACAGAGTCTTACTCTGTTACCCTGGATAGAGTGCTCACAGCAACCTCAAACTCCTAGGCTCAAGTGATCCTCCTGTCTCAGCCTCCTGAGTAACTGGGACTATAGGTGCCCTCCTCTACCACAACACCTGGCTAGTTTTTCTATTTTTAGTAGAGACAAGGTCTCACTCTTGCTCAGGCCAGTCTCAAACTCCTGAGCTCAAGCAATCTCCCACCTGATCTCCGAGACTGCTAGGATTACAGCCACAAGCCACCACATCCAGCCATAAAAAAATTATTCTATTATTTAAAAATTATCAAAGACAAAGCATTTTGCTTGTTTAACAAAATATACTCCAAATACATTTTTATTCAGAGTAATTACATAATATTTATTTCATGGATACAATATAATATATTCACTGATTCCCATTTTAATTGCCATTCAGGTTGTATATAACCTTTGCCATTAAAAGCAATACCAGTATGATTCAGAGAAGTGGGGGAAGAAGAAACATATACACCCCTGGTTCCGTGAGGACTGATGAGAAGGAAGTTAGAGACCTAGGATGCATGGAGAAAATAGGCCCTACCCAGGGCAAGATCACAAGAGCTACCCAGAGCCCCAGGGTACCAAATGACCTGGAACACCATATACCAGGAACTTGGAGAGGACAGCAGGAAAAGGGTCCTTTCCAGGAGTCATCGCCCCTTTCCTCATCTTGCCCCAGGGCTCCTGTGATTCCCCACTCTAGTTGTCCCACCTGAGTCACCCTTCCTACAGCAGGTTGGGGCACATTATACTCAGGCAACACCCACTGCCTTCTGCACAGATTGTTTTGCATACAGAAAGGAGGAGGCCATTGAAAACTTCAGGGAAGTCACCACCAAGGGGCAAGGAAGGAACTTGCCCAATTCTAGCCTTCAGCTTCAATCAAAGAGGTCACTCCATCTATGAATTTAGATAATGAGGCCCATGAAAACAGTCCTCCGACCCTATCTGGCACTCCTGTGAGGATCTGACCTGAAGATGGCAGAGGAGTGACCTCGTCACCCTCCCGGGACCCTGGGACCCTGATTTCCCAGCTCCATAGTGTACCTGAGGGTTGAAATCACTGAGGCCTGGAGACTTCACCCACCTCCTGGGCAATAGGCCCTCCCTGTGCAGCCGTAAACACTGAGCACAGCCCCCGTGTGTCCCACCCACCTGCAGTGGGCAAGGCTCCAGGAAGCAGATGACAGGAGCCCCAGGGCTCCCAGCCCCTGGGAGGAGCCAGGCTGAGCTTCATAAGGGGACTGCTCTTTCTCCCAACACGCATTTCACTCGACCTTCTCACCTGACGCTTCCTCAGCCCGGGTAAGTCTGCACCCACATCCTTGCCTTTTCCAGAAGGGCCCAGTGCCCAGCTGCTCTGCTGCCTGCAGGAGGGGAAGGCTGCGGTGAGGACTCAGCAGCTGGGGTCTAGTCCCATGTGCCATCACAGGACTGTGCCAGCTCCATCCCAGCCAAGAGTCCTCATCTATCAGGTCGCTGGGCAGGCCCTCCCCAGGACTCACTTGGATCTCCCAAATCTAACCTTGTGACATGTCCCCAGTGGGGGCTGAGGTCAAGGCCCTCCCTTTCCCCTTCTTCTTCCTCCCTGGTTCACCTTCCTGCCAGGGTCCAGGGTGCTGAGCCCCCTCCCCAGTCCCATCTCAGATCCTGGAGGGCCAAGGGTGCCCTGAGAGGGCTTTGTGGGCTCTCCTAGCCCCAGGGCTGGGGACTGCACCCACCCATGCAGGGGACTGCTCAGCCAGGCCTCTTGCGCCAACCCCAGCTCAAGAAATGCCCAGCGACCCACTGGGCACAGAGCTGGGCCTCTGGCCATGGCCACAGCTCCCTCAAAGGCTCTCCAGTCCCCTCAGTGACACACCAGCACAGGGTGATGATGGTTGGTTATCAGGTGTCCAAATGTGGGATCCACGGTCATTCTCTGGTCGCGGGATGTCTGAGTGTGGGGAGGCACTGCCTGGTTCTCTGGCTTGGGCTCCAGTCCCTCCTGGATGCTGACTGTGGGCTCCAGAGCCTGCTGTGGGGAGTCAGACCTTCCCTTTACACTACACAAAAACAGTCAGGGCCTGGTGACCCAGAGAAGACAGGAGCAGAGGGCAGATGATCCCCAAGAGCAGATAGACAGAAGGACCCCTCCAGTCTACCCCACCCAGTTCCTTAGGAAACAAGGCAGGTTTTTCTATTCATTTTAAATCTGAGGTCAACTGTGGTGGCAGTGCCTCTGTCGGGCTCCCAGGTGGCCTGGGGAGGCCTCCCTGAAGGCGTGGACGGGGCTCTTTCTGCTCTCATTCATGCTCACACCTGCCCCGGAGGTTGCACACACCATTGTACCCTTTCCAAGCAGAGTTCCCACTAGGGTCAGGGTGGGGCCTGGTTCCTGAGGCAGCTGGGAGGGTCAGACACCAGGTCACCGAGGACATCCCCTGACCCTGCGACTCTCACCCCAGCTGTGAGGCTGAGGGAGGTGGGCTTGATGCTGTTTGGGGAGGAGGCCAAATGCCAGGTCAGGGGTCTCAGTCAGGGTTTGGCCCTTTCTCTGGATGGACTCCAGCTCTTCCTGCCTGCCCTCCTGCCCAGTGCCACCCACAGCTGGTAGTGCTCTTCTCCTGTGTCCCCCTGTCCTTGCCTGTGTGAGTTCAGGTCCCGGGATTGGTCCGGACTCCCGTTTTGGGGCCTTCATCTCAACACACAGAGAAGCACCTTCCTCTCCACTGCAGACTTTGCCCCTTGCTCTACAATCCCTTCCCATCTTCCTAATTTTGGTCATTTTCGGAGTAGGAAACATATCATTGTCTGTCTTTCCTGCAGCATTTCTGAAAGCAAAGATGGGCAGCACTCCAGCTGAGAAGTCCATGATGGCCTTGGTCGACCTTTTTCACAAATACGTTGGGAGTGATGACAAGATAGACAAGCCCAGCCTGTCGAGGATGGTGAAGGACCATTTCCCCAACTTCCTCAGTGCCTGTGTAAGTCGGGGTGTGCCTGCCCTGGGCAGGGAGAGATTTTGTATTTGTAAGGTCAAGAGGATAGCGATGCCTGGGCCGGTTGTATGGTTCTGATATGCCCACAGACTCACGTCTGGTAGGTGAATTCACTAGTCTTACTGGGTGACGCTGAGCCCAGTGTGCCTCATCATCCTCTCTTAGCCCTAGACAGGACCAGCCCAATGGGCAGCTGGAGCATGCAGGGGATGGAGCCTGGATCTCAGAGTCAGGGCTTGGCTCCTGTCCTGCCCCAGACATGCCTGCTAAGTGGGGCTTGGCTCCTGTCCTGCCCCAGACATGCCTGCTAAGTGGCTCTGCAGGGGTTCCCTGCACTCTCCTAGCCTCCATTTCTCTTGCCTAACTCATCCTCCTCCTCTTTAGAGTCACTCCTTGGTTCAAGCAGAGCCTTGCCAGGATGGTGCTCAGTGGAAATCATAGTACTATGACAGGAGCAGAACCCCTTATTTTTGGCAGAGCTCATCCATACACCTGCTGGGTTTTTTGTTTGTTTCTTTCTTTCTGTTAGAATGCACCAAACTTATTAGCAAAATGTTAACAGAGAGCTGGGCCCTAAGGCAAGGGAACCCTGAACTTACCAGTGAGAGCAGCTGAATGGGAGGAGGGTAGACCACAAGACAAGAAGGGAGGTCAGCCGGTGGGGACCCCAGGGAGAGTGTGGTAGGCAGGTGGGCCAGAGTGGATGAGGGCCCCTCATGCCCTTGCTGGGGTGGTTCCTGGCAGAGCTGCCTGGAATCCCAGCACTCCCTGTATTGGAGCTCTCCGCCTGCCTCTTGTGTGCCCCTCTCCCACTTAGCCCTTACCTTGCCCCCGCTGCAGGATGCCACTTTTCCTCTTTTTTGCAATTCAAGTCTCATGTGTAATGGCTTTGTTCTTATTTGCATGTTTCTCTCCCCACAGGAAAAGAAGGGCAAAGATTACTTGGGCAATGCATTTGAGAAAGCGGACGAAGATAAAGACGGGAAGATTGACTTTTCCGAGATCCTCTCTGTGCTGGGGGGCATCGCCTCCGACTACCACAACCAGAGCCACGGAGCAGAGCCCTGCTCCAGAGAAGGCCAGTGATGAATCCAGCCCAGGGCCTCCAGAGACCCCAGGACAATAAAGTGTCTACTCCCACCAGATGTTGCATCACTTCCTCGTTTTCTTTGGTTGTGTATATCTTAGAATAGAAAATTTTGGGTTAGCTTCTCTGTATGTTGTTCCCTAGATGCAGAAGTTCTTTCTAGCACCCGCCTGCTCCCAGTGCACTTCCCCTGGAGTCTGGCCTGCATTGGTTTTTGAGATTCACCTGCACTCTGACACCTGGGCTCAGGCAGCCACCTCCTCAGAGAACATCAATCAGGATGCAGCTGGAGCTCTTGCTGGGGGCCCTGCCAAGTGCCAGACTGTCACTTGCTCTCTGTACCACTTTTGTGAGTGGAGGGGCAGCAGTGGTCTGGGTACTAGGCCTGGCCTCTGTAGCTATCTATGCCATGCTCCTGTGTCTGAACATTGGGAACAGTGGGAACAGATGTGGTTTTCTTGCTCTTGGACGTGGGTTGCTGAATGCTAGGCATTGTGCTGGGAGCTGGGGAGGCACAGGCCAAAGAGTCATTTTCCAGTCCAGCAGCAGAGTCCTCACAACACAGGTGACTCTGGTCACAAGTCTAGCTGATTCAGACCCATGTTTTTGGGGTGGTCATTAAAGGAGGAGGAGCTAACATTCATGCAGCAGGTGAAGGGACAGGGAGGAGAAGGCAGCTGCTGCTCATCTCTGAGCCTGGTACTCTGCTCAGAAGAGGATGCAGAAATAAAAGTGATGCAATGGTGGCCCCTTCTCAGAAAGTGCCATCCTCTCAGTTGCCTCCACTGGGGGCTGCTAATTCTGTTTTAATGCCTCTAAACCCTCCAGGCCCTGGTAGGGCCTGTTCAGGTCAGCTCCCCACTGCACCTCACATCCTTACAACCTTCCCCAAGGGCTCATGCTATGCTGACACAGGTTTATCTTCCTTTCTTGTCAGAACTGTGTTTTCAGTCAACACCTGGCTTACACTCACCCTTTCTACACCACCAAGAGAGCATCTACAGGGTGAGTTGATAGTTGGATTTCCTCAAAGCAGAGAATAAGACGGGGATTCTGGTTTGCTGAGAGAGCTTTCAATGGGGCTTGAGAGGATGTGAGAGGGCAGCATAGGACAGAGAGGGAGCACGGCAGAGACAGGAACTCTGCTGCCATCCTGCTTGGGTCTGACTGCCAAGGAGGGAGTCAGGCATAGGGAGCTCTGCAGCATGAAGGGAACCAGGGGATCATTTTACCTTGAGATGCAGAAGTCCACACCTTCTGGCTCCAGCATCATTGTCACTGATTCCCGGCCACCCCTGGGAAGGCACAGCCTTGTAGTCATTCACCGGCTGGGAGGTCCCTTTGGATCAAGGGCCATTCTAGGAAAAGGTACAGCTGTGATCCTTCGGCAGCTGACCCTGACAGAAGCTGGTGGAGGGCACAGGGTCCAGGCAGCAGGGATCTGGGTGGGACACTACTACAGGGCACCACTGTGCACCCTCAGAGCCAGTCCATTCTCATGTCAAATTCATGCCATGCAGGAAGGGCTTCTCAGTTCTAGTTGGTTGTGATTTCTGGGGAAACCTGCTAGTTAGTGGCTATGTTGCTCTCAGTGCTGAGTGTCAGGTAACGACTAACACTCTTCTTCTCCCTCCTCTGCCATCCATTCCAGATTTCTCTCCCAGTGGCTGGCACTTCTGCTGGTCTTGGTGGCTTGTCTGGTGGGGTGACCCTCATCCCTGAGGCACACATGCTCCTGGCCCCTGTGTCTTGATTGTGCCTGGGTTGCTGTACTTACTCACCTGCAGTAAAACTGGACATAGGAATAACAGTTGACACCCCAGAGGATCGCCCAAGTGCCAGAAACATTCTTCCCTGCCCCCATCATGCAGAGCAGTCCTGCATGGTGGTCAGGGCAGTTGCCTCTCCAATAGTTATGCCTTTTTTTTTCTTGCCTAGAGGACAAGGCAACTAAAGTGGCCAAGCAGAAGCAAAGGGCTACAGCCTCCTCCACATGGGGCTATAGGCTCCTCCACACGGGGCTATAGGCTCCTCCACACGGGGCTATCGGCTCCCCCACACGGGGCTATAGGCTCCTCCACACAGGGCTATAGGCTTCTCCACACGGGGCTATCGGCTCCCCTACACGGGGCTATTGGCTCCCCCACACGGGGCTATAGGCTCCTCCACACGGGGCTATAGGCTTCTCCACAGAAAGGGCTATAGGCTCCTCAACACAGGGATGGAGGCTCCTCCACACACGGGGCTACAGGCTCCTTCACAAAGGCCTATAGCAGCGGTTCTCAACCTGTGGGTCACGACCCCTTTGTTGCAATGAAAATACATCGTGGCATTAGGAAGGTTGAGAACCACTTGTCTATAGGCTCCTCCACATGGAGCTATATGGTCCTCCACACAGGGCTATATGCTCCTTCACATGGGGTTATAGGCTTCTCCACATAGGGCTATAGGTTCCTCCACATGGAGCTATATGCTCCTCCACACAGGGCTATATGCTCTTTCACATGGGGCTATAGGCTCCTCCACATGGGGCTATAGGCTCCTCCACACAAAGGGCTATAGACTCCTCCACATGAAGGGCTACAGGCTCCTCCACATGGAGCTATATGGTCCTCCACACAGGGCTATATGCTCCTTCACATGGGGTTATAGGCTTCTCCACATAGGGCTATAGGCTCCTCCACACAGGGCTATAAGCTCCTCCACATGGGCCTTTAGACTCCTCCACACAAAAGGCTATAGGCTCCTCCACAGTCTTACACATTCTGGGGACATTCTTACACATACTGTCTGTGGGGTTATAGGGTCTTCCTTATGGGACTCTTTAATTCATGTGGGTTCTAGGCATGTCCTCGCTCAGGTGTGCAGATTGGGCATAGACAGTGCCTTCCATCTGGTGGCTGGTCTCAGTCTTATGCTCACAGCATAGTTGGCTGCATTAAAATGAAAGGAAGCATAGTCTACAAAAATGTGCTCACTTTTGACACCAACTGTAATTTCAGGGGTCTCTAATACTGCCCTGAGCTTTGATAATTTGCCAGAATGACTCACAGAATTCACTGGCAGCAGTGATACTCATGATTATGGTTTGTTTACAGGGAAAGGATCCAGATTAAAATCAACCAGGGAGGCTCGGCGCCTATAGCTCAACAGGCTAAGGCGCCAGCCACGTACACCTAAGGTGGCGGGTTCGAATCCCCAGCCCAGACCCGCCAAACAACAATGACGGCTGCAACCAAAAAATAGCCGGGCATTGTGGCAGGCGCCTGTGGTCCCAGCTACTTGGGAGGCGGAGGCAGGAAACTCGCTTGAGCCCAGGAGTTGGAGGTTGCTGTGAGCTGTAATGCCACGGCACTCTACCCAGGGGGACAGCTTGAGGCTCTGTCTCAAAAATAAAATAAAATAAAATAAAATAAAAAAATAAAATCAACCAGGGAGGGAGGAGGTAAGATGGATGACTGGAGCCAGCTTTCAACAGAAGCTCCCATCCAGAGGGAGAGATCATGGACAGAAAGAACCCAATAAAGCTGTAGGTCAGGAGCTGAGCTGATAGAGTAGACTGGTAAATTTACGTCATCCCTGCTGAGGCAAGCTGGGACTCCAAGGAAGCAAATTTCAGGGACAAAACCCATACCAAAGAGGATGAGAGTCTGTCCTCTACCCCAAGAAAGTGTTCACTGTGTGCTCTCTATAAGTGAGCAGTGAACAGAATACCTCTTGTTTTACCCCATGGGAGAGAGTGACTGAAGGCTGGGACTCCTTCTCCAGAGAGATCCCACTGGGAGCCGGGGCAGTTTCTTGCCTGGAATAAAAGTTGAACAAATATTTTCCCTGCCTTCCTGAAATCCCAGTCTACCCTTCCACCCTCTCCTGGCAGTCTGGAAACCTACCCCCCTGCAGAATTCAGAGTGTCTGGTGGTTCCTTGCTACTGCTGGGCATCTCATGGGCTGCAGTGCAGCTGCACTGAAATTGTGACTCTGGTAGAAGCAGGGAGTTGCAAGGGGAGTGGGATTGGCCCTGTGCCGAGAAAGTGCATAGCACTGGGACCTGCATGGTAGAACCTTCCCTGGTGCCTGCACCTCTGAACAGTAGTGGCACCTCTGACTGGAGGTGGCAGCTCTTTCAAACCACAGCAGCACCTCCATCATGGTGGCGCACTCCCGCCCTCCGGCCAGGGACAAATTTGGGAGACACCTCCCTAATTCTGTGGACCACCAGAGGGAGCCAGACCTCACCCCACAGGGGTTCTAGAGAAAGAGTGTGGCCAGGGCAGAGGCTTGGTCTCTAAGGGAGAGAATCATGCCCTGCAATGGTAACCCCTGGCTTGGAACAGACTCAGGTGGAACAGATCCCAGTTTCCAATGAGCACTGGAGGGAGTCAGGCTTGAACTCCTCCTGTCTGTAGGTGGCAGAGTGCTGTGTCCCAACCATGGAGGCATTGACTCCCCTTTGACTCAGGTAGATGCAAATCCCTGGTGCACTGGTGCATTGGAGGGAACTGAGCCACAGCCCTGTGGGGTTACCAGTGACTGGTATGGCTGAGGTGCAAGGTGGGGAAGGAGGTTCCAACCTCCCTGAACTAACTCTTTTACTGGGTGGGCTTTTCTGACTCCACTGATCACTGGAACAAGTCACACTTGAGCTGTCTGTGGACCTCTGCAGTCTGGTTGCTGGAGACCTTTTGAACTCTCCCACTTGAACAGTGATTTTACTGCCTGGGACAATTGGAACTCTTGACCTGGGCTGGCCACCCAGGGATCCTCCAAGGTTGAGCCCTGGTGGTGTTGTAGTCGGAGGGACTGATTTTCCTTTTCCAGTTGTTGCTGGTGTGGGGGTGGGGTGTCTTAGTTGCTATACATTTCTCTAGCTGAGATTTCAGCCCAAAGCCACCAATTCACTTGGATTGGCTAGAGGCTGGCTGAATACAAGTCAGAGCCACCTAGCCTCATCACACCAATCGGGTCCTCATAGTCTCAGGCTGCAGGACTGTAAAGGACT